TTAATATTATCAACTCATCATCCAGCTGTGCCAGACTTACCCTCATACAATTTAAGGTCCTCCATAGACTACATTACAGTAAAAAAAAATTTCAAGGCTCTACCCAACAAAAACAGACAAAGCATGTAATAGATGCTCACAGACTCCGTGCAACCTTACCCACATGTTCTGGCTATGTCCTAAGTTGACTCACTTCTGGCAATTATTTTTTGAAGCACTATCTAAGATAGTTGATATGAATCTAGACCCAACCCCTCACATAGCTATTTTTGGTAAACCACCAGATGATCTTTGTACCACAGCCACCCAAAGAAATGTCATTGCTTTTGCCTCTCTCGTTGCTCGCAGGAGAATTCTCCTACTATGGAAATCTCCTAACCCACCCTCATTTAAATCTTGGCTACGGGACATTCTAAGCCTATTGAAATTAGAGAAGATTAAGTTCTCAATCAGAGGCTCTGCCAACAGGTTCTATACACACTGGAGACCATTACTCGACTTTCTCGATAAACTGCCACCTCGTGAAGTGGCTAGATAAAAAAGAAACTCTCCTCATGGTCATAATATACCCTCTACTTAGCATCTGTCCGCCAGCAAGTGATCCCCCCAAGCAGATTGTACGCATCCTGAAAGTACACCGGAGCAGTCATTACAACCAGGAAGCAGACGTATCCAGTATTAAGTTTAAGCAAGTTATTTCATGCGCATTTTCAGCCCTACTTGTTTTCTAATTTATTTATATAATTTTTTTTTCTCACACTATGTCAAAATCTGTTGTGTTGGTAATTCGTACTGTTATTCAAATTAATACAAAGTTACACCGTCCAGGAACTACAGATTTGGGGGAGGGAATGGGGATGCTGTTTGTGTTGGGAATATGTTTTTAAAAAAAGTTGTATTTTTGGACGTACTGATTGTCTTTGACGCTGTGTTCTATAAATAAAGTTTACAAAAAAAAGAAACAAAATAACTATAAAGAGACAAAAACCATCTACAAAGTCAAAACACACGCAAAATGGCCACAAAAATTATCACAAAGACACAAAATAACTACAAAGAGACACTAAATAGCAACAAATATTCCACAAAACAGCTACAAATAGACACAAACGACTACACACAGACACAATACAACTACAAATAAATACAAAACAACTGCAAGTGGACACAAAATCTGAAAGATGCAAGACAAGAAAGTTGAAAAACTATTAAAACAAAGAGGAACAAAAATGAACCAACTACAAAAAAAAGCTGTGTTCCAGTGCAGGTGTCTTGCTCTTTTGTAGGAGGGGTGAAGGGCCTTTTGTATGTCTCTGCCAAGTGCGTTATCACCTTATCAATCCTTGAATTTGTATGATGCTCCTATCCAGACAAAGTTACACACTTGTGTATATTTTGTGTTACAAAAGAATAAGCTTCAGTTTGGCATAACAGTAGTGCACGTAGGTGAGAGAGCAAAAGTCAAAACATTTGCCTAACAAACAGTCCTGTTCTCATTAAATAATAAAGGTGGCTATTATTTTGAACAATAAATAAATCCATGAACAACAATATGAAAAGGAGGATGCTACACCCAGTCGAAGTGAGACCATATTTCTTGTGACTGCACATGCATTATGACAGGTCTAGTTTATGTTACTTACATTATTAGTAGGCGATAGGCTGAAGATAATTTCGGAGTATAAACTCCTTGTCTTCATTTTTCCTGTTTTCTGTAAATGTACAGATTTATTGGTGGCTACCAGCACTTGGAAAGGATTCACCAACTGTTAATGAAAGAGAAAGACTGATCGTGAGTGAAGAGTGATGATGTCTCTAATACTGTACATATAATTGTATAAAAGAGCAGTACCACACACAGACTCAGTGAACGTTTTGTTTTATACTAGAAATACCACTGTAAGCTAATAAATGTGGATACAAATACATATCACACCCCATAAATCGTTCTTAGAGCTAAGTACAAAATTTCTTACCATTTTTGGGTTTATCAAGGCACCACTTATTTGACCCTTAACGGCACTTTGTCTCAACTCTGCGGCATTTTTGACGTCTTTGAAAAGCATCTGAGTCACTCTGTGATCGGGAAAAAGTTCTAGCTGCTTTGTTAGATGCATGCTGAAAATTTTGGGACAGTTGTCACTGCGCTTCATATGAGGTCTGTACACAGGGGGAAACATAACACGGTGACACTTCTTGAGCGTTTCCTCTTTGGGGAAAATGTTCCACAAAACAAATAAACAAAAAACAATCAAACATTTACCTTCTAAAAGTCATCATATGTAAAATCACGACGTTTAGTATTTTGTACAGTATAATGCTAGATTAATTAGCACAAGTAGGAACTAAGAGTTTCCGTGCCGAATCTATTTCAGAGGCGGACCACCATCTAACAAAAAATTTATCTTTTTCGTTTATTGATACTGTACAGTCTTCATCCACTTTCTCTCAAAATTGTGTGCTCATTGGTTTAAATAGGCGAAACTAGTCGTTATGCGGTATACACAGCATTATAACAGCTAACGTCAGACTGCAATAACATCGAGCTTCGTCTTCAAACATGGAGAAATATGAAGGCTATATTTTCACTGCTCTCTGCAGCACCAACTTTTTGGTATCCTGCCTGCTGTTCTCCAGAGTCACTCGGGAGCAAAGGGAGCCGTACATGGACGAGCTTTTTCACGTTCCACAAGCTCAGAAATACTGCCATGGAAAATTCAGCGAGGTAAAGTGCCTTTCTAGCCATGTAAACGACTTTTCCGGATTAAGGTTAGCTAGCAGCGGAGTTCATGTCATTTAAAACGATGTCGAAGCTTGCACAGCTTTTAATCTCCATACTGGAAACAGAATGACATAAGTAGGGAATATGTGTTGTACTTGTAGTTTCCATGTAGAGTGGGGTAGCATTATCAATAACACAAGCTACAAGAGACATCAGACAACTATTTTTACATGACAGCTAATTGTAGCTTCATGGTGGCATGCCCTTTTAACACGGTGCTGACCCTTTCTTTAGTGGGACCCGATGATCACCACTCTCCCAGGCCTTTATCTCGTCTCAGTGGGTGTGATCAAGCCCGTGGTGTGGCTGGCTGACCTGACAGGCGAGGTGGTGTGCTCCACAGGCATGTTACGCTTCATCAACCTGCTCTTCAACTGCGGCAACCTCTACTTGCTCTATCTTCTCCTCTGCAAACTGCACCTCAGGGAGAGGGTAAGATCGAATGATAATGACGATCAAATGATAATAATGTGTGGGTGATCTCTACTTGTCATTTTTTGTATTCTGATATCATGTCACTTATGTTCCAGACACATACAACCTCACGCAGAGTCCTCTCAGCACTGTCTCTGTCCACCTTCCCTGTGCTCTACTTCTTCAACTTCCTCTACTACACAGATGCTGGATCTACTTTTTTCATCCTCTTTACCTATCTCATGGCACTCTATGGGTGCCACAGAGCTTCAGCACTCCTTGGTGTCTGCTCTGTGCTCTTCCGCCAAACCAACATCATCTGGGTGGCCTTCTGCGCAGGCACTCTAGTGGCTGCCAAAATGGATGAGGCCTGGAGAGCAGAGCATATGAAAAAGAGGGATGAGAAGTGTCCTCTATCCCAGGCCCCTCTGTCGTTCAGTGGGGCAAAGAAAATAATGCTTTTCACCATAGAATTTCTCACTTCACCCAGTCATGTAAAGGCGGTGCTGCTGGTGGCCTGGCCTTACGCAGTGGTTGGCGCTGGTTTCCTGGTGTTCATGGTACTAAATGATGGGATAGTGGTGGGTGACAGAACAAGTCATGAGGCCTGCCTCAACTTTCCCCAGCTCTTCTATTTCTTCTCCTTCACCCTCTTCTTCTCCCTCCCTGTCTCACTCTGTTACTACCGCATCCTCCGCTTCTTGCAGGCTCTGAAAAAGCAACCCTTCTTCTTCCTCTTTATCACTGGAGTCTCCTTGCTACTGGTGTGGAAGTTCACCTTTGTCCATAAGTACCTCCTTGCAGATAACCGCCATTTCCCCTTCTATGTGTGGAAAAAACTTTTCCAGAGGCATGAGCTGGTGCGCTTCCTACTCATCCCAACTTACATCTTTGCTGGCTGGAGTTTTTTAGACTCTTTCAAGTCACGTTCACTCTTCTGGAGCTTGGCGTTCCTGGTGTGCCTTTTGGCTGCCACGGTCCCCCAGAAGTTACTGGAGTTCAGGTACTTTATCGTCCCGTACCTGATGTATCGCCTGCACATGCCTCTCCCCTCTCTTCCCAGACTTATTGTGGAGTTCCTCCTGTACACAATGGTCAATGCTGCCACACTATACATCTTCATCAACAAAACATTCCACTGGCCAGACAGCACAACCACACAGAGGTTCATGTGGTGAGGGGTGAGGGAAGTACTGAAGCTGGTATCTGATATCAGGAGTTACAAGACTCAAATGAGATGTTGGCATCAAAGGACATTAATTGCTACACAGTTAACTTAATGTTTTTCAGCTTTGGTTGCAAAATAAAGTGATGGTAGGAGCTGCTGTAGGCTAGTGAATAACATGTTATCTGGAGATGTAACATTTATTTCTAGTTGATTAGGGTGCAACCCAAATTTCGTCTTTTTAATGTTTTCATACTATCCTTCACATGAAAATGACATTGACAAAGAACAGCTTTTGCTATTGGACAATACATTGGCAGTAACAGCACTGTAAAATCATTGGTAGTGGTCTGAGTTAGAGAAGTTGCTGTATATAAAAGTTGTTTCTGCTGTTTTGGTTTTTGGTTGAAATTTTGGTCCATCTCTGAGGTGGAAAAATGATTGCACAATTTTACATTTTCTGCAGGGTTCTGGGAATTGACAAGGTTGTGTGTGGTTTGTAATGGTAAATTGTTTGTATTTCAAATGTAAATGCTGTATGCAATTCTATAAATCCATATTTCAAGGAACAGTTGTTGACATGAGCTATTAATATGATTCAAGAGACCAAAAACAACATAGAATTTCTCCCAAGGGAGACAATACGGGCACCTTGACCTTGATAGCCATATTGTTTTTTTGTAATGACTGAAATGTTTGCATTTTGCCAGTGAAGAACACATTGGACCCACAGACAACTTTACAAATTGTTATGAGACTAAATTGAAAATATCCAAATGTTTTTCATTTTTCACCTTGAATTTACTTTGCCAAGCCATAAGAATCAACCAGAGGTGATTCATAAAAGTGTTAGTTTAAATGCCTGTGTTTTCTGCCATGAATTTTAATTGTTTTTTTTTTTTCTTTGTAGTTAATTTTAATAGAAGATATCATCCTGCCTTCTGTGTTTCACCTTTGTGTGCTACTTTTGTTGTGCCGGATTTATGTGTTTGATTGCAGTTATTCTTCCTGTGTACATAAATGAGTTTCAAGTATGAAGTTGATCTCAGTCCCATCAGGACATGATTAAAGGTTTGGTTTGAGTCAAATGTGACACTGTTTTATTAAGAGCAAGTCATTATGTCCAGATTTTATTTTGCCACTCTGTATCGGTCTTGATCCTGTTTGCTCATTTTTCTGATGCTTTGTATTCCACAGTTAGTGTCCATCCAGCTGCTCCACAGTGTTATGTAATTTGAATAAAGTGACTCATGCAGAGTCATGTCCCAGTTTTATCATTTATAGAGCACTTTTGGTGAATATACATCCACAATGATCTTTACAGAATACAAAGGGCAACAAATTGTTAAAAAAATACAGATACATCAGATTTGTTTTAGAGCCTCTTAACAATAGTTTGAAAAGACATGTTCATATTAGACATGAATATTGGGTATACAGAATAGTAGGCCTGTTTTAATAGACCTTCTGTGGAATCTTTGCAGAGTTAATGGGACTGTATTCACATGTTCAGATTCTTAAGAGCAAAATGTATCAAATTGTGTCACATTAGCTGTTCCAGAATTATTGGTTTTAGAGGAGCCTAATGGGTTTATAGACTGAGTTAAACTATAAACTATCAGCCAGACTTACACACTAGGTGGAGCTATAAGATAAAGTTGGAAATTCTCATGAAGAATACTTATTATGTAACATGAAGAAAGATAATCGGACTGGTTATAAATTTAAAACACTGCCCTTATCCCAAGCTTTCACTACTGAATAACACAAAAAAGTGTTAACATTTCAGTGTAAGATTATACCTGAGTAAACTCAAACATAGAAACTTGATGGTTAATGCGGAGCCATCCTTGAAGTTTATTTTCATACTGTTCAAAATATCAGCCACTTTCAACTCTAATAGTGTGCTGGTTCGTTCTAATAAAAACAGCTAGACAAAGAAAATTTCAGGCAGCTGAATCTGATTAGCAGAACCTGACACTCTTCGGTATAATAATAAAACCTAACCATTGTTGTGTAGCTTGCAGTAGTTTAGAGTAGTCGTTGTTACTTTAGAAGAGAAAGCTCAAGTGGGAGAAGAAAGAAGACAAGTGGCACAGCAATTGCTCTCCATCCAACTAATATTACTAAGTTCTAATTGTGTCAAGCAGCAGCTCACAGGAGAGACTTTAATAAAAATCACACTGGGATGATTATACAAATGTTGATTATACTGTTCACCCACTCCTGCCCTGTGTGAAGGAGATACAGTACATACTCTTTGCTTTGCAACACAATATTCTAGGTAAAAATAGCCTGGAATGTACAATATGGTTTTTATTTGTTCTTTGATTTTGGCTTTTAATGAACCTCTCTCACTCTCTTTTCCCTTTTCACTGTCTCATTGATGTTTACTTTAGGGGATGATGAAGCATGCATTAGCCCCAAGAGGGGCATCAATCATAAATTTATTTTACTTCATGTCACAGTTGTAGTTTGTACTTGTATAGTAAATAATATCAGAATAATTACTAATTGCATCTTAAGGAATGCTAGCAGTATTCCCACTGTTTCCAGTCATACAAATTTACACTGATTGGCACCAAATATACGGAAGTTCTTTAATGACATAACTATTGAAAGTTGGAGAATTAACTCTCTTAAACACAAGAGTTTAAAGGTGCATTAACTAAGTGTTTACACACTGATAAATTAAGAGAAAATAAGACAGGACATATAGTTTTTCTGTACTACTCCACAACAGTCTGCTGGCTACAGCACTTCTGTTATTTCAGCTTCTCTACACTGTTGTCAAAAATACTTTCTGTAAATTCGCCCTGTCTGGCACCTAATGAATGCTGATGCAGGTAATATAGATGGCTCAGGGAAGTACACAAATGCAACTAATATGGCAAATTCAGGTAAATATACAAATGCAGGTAATTAATATAACTGGCACAGGAAGATACAACAATCATGTAACAAGATATACAGATAAATTTATATGGCAAGCAAAAGACAGACAAATTGGAATAAAGCACATATGCTGTAATAGGCTAAGCCATGGTTACAGTTACAGAAAGAGTTCATCATTAAACAGGCAGGCCAGGCAAACAATCACAGCCAGGAAGTGGTTAGAGTTCTTACACAGTAAAAGCAGACAGAAAACCTGGGACAGGTTACTGACCATGAAACTAGCAAGAAAGAAAATCCACACATGGGTGAATCCAAAAGTTTGAACAGGGGAAAGGCAGGCTCAGAGTCCAATGGAGATACATTCGTATTCCAACATTTGATACAACAGGCAACCAGCAACAGATAAACAGGGACAAGCAGAGAGAATTATACTCGAGAGTCACAAGAGATGACAGTCTGGCTAGGAGTGAATGCAGTCTGCGGACTTAAACACAGAGTGACTGAATACACTGATGGAAGGTGGAGGTGCCTGTGTGTGCAGGTGAGTGTGAGCAGGGTGGGGCAGAGCAGGTAGCAAGAGCGGGAAAACTTGGACAAAGACAGGAGCTGGGTCTAAAGCCATGTCTACATAGCAAACATGGTGTGTGCAAATCGTGACATCTCATGTGCAGCCTGCAAGAGGCTCATGGTCATGTCACGGTCATGTGGTCAAGCACATGTTCACTCACGTGAACATACGCTTGGTGTGGAAAATTTAAAAAGCACACTTTACAAAAACTACCATATTTGGTAGGATTGATGTACCGGCTGATAGGTCATGCGCTTTAACCTTTTTTTTATGTATTTTTTTTTTGTTTGGGATGAGTTCTGCTTAAATTAGCTTTCATTCTTGATGGATTCTGTGGAGCATTTTACGTGTGTAGCTCCAAAAAATAGGCTTGAAACATAAAAATACACTTCAGGTTTTAGCTAAGCATGTAAAGCACGAATAATACGCAAGCCAACAAGTGGGCAGTGTAGATAGCTGGACTGATTAATATATGTATTGGTTGCTTGACTCGTGTCTCAAAAACACATGCTGAAACACTTGAAGTGTAGACACAGCTTAACACCAAAGGAGAAGCAAGAGCAGAGACAATACAAAGATGACCAGAAAGCAACTAATTATATTTCCCTTAGTACTCTACCAGCACAAAGGGACATGTATAGAAGTTTATAAATGTGGAGCTCAGCATGTTTTACACTTCCTTAGTTTTTCTGTGTGCATAAATAAGAGTTTTACCAGCAATAAACTTTCATACCAGATGTGCAGCATTAATTACAGGTTAAACAGAAGGTATACTGGTGCTGATTTGCTCAGATCAAAACTGTATTATTTGTATGACCTGGCTTCTGTTTCTATCCTTTCTCTCTCTTCATTTGTATGCACACATGCACGTCTTTCCACCCCCAGACTAAAATTCATGTAAGCTCTGAGCAATTAATTAGAAGCAGACCCTCAAGGAGAAAAAGTTTCCTGGAGCCAAAAGTGACGATAAGGCACCAGAAAAAGACACTGATATTCATTTGATTTGTAAATGTAGAGTCTGTTACTTAGTCACTTAGGTTACATAAAATTTGCAAGAGCAGAAAATAATTAGGATGAAAAAGGAGAGAGGGTGAGAAGAGGAGAGGGAGGAGAAGGGAGAGCGAGAGAAACAAGATATATATGTTCATAACATGACAGCTTGATAAAAATGCCATTACAAATGAGGTGACTTAATGCAGCTGCAGTTCAGGTCTAAATAAATACATTTTAAAAAACCTGGTCCTCAGTATCTTGTAAGCACATAATTTTCTATTCTTCTAGACATCTCTGGTTCTCTGTGGAGGTGCCTGTGCATGCTGGTTACTTGTATGAAATACTGCTTCATGACGTACGTATACATGTATAATGATTATGGATAAACTTTACATTTAACAAAACTCTTTACTTCATAATGCCAGTAGGCATACTGTGTGAATAAAACATGAAACCTTTTATTCACTTTAAAGCAGCTCATTTCACTTTCACAGTATTTAGCAATGACTGATTGCTCCCTCACCCAAATAAGGTCATATAAGGTCAAACCTCAGCAGCAGCACAAATTGGAAAATCTTTGCTCCTTTGGCTCTTACTAAAAATAATAAACAGAGGTGACAACGTGATGAGTCACTGTGTTAAAAGCTTTTTCATGTTCTTAAAAAAAAACAAAAAACAAAAGATCAATAGATACCAACAATATACAGCTGAAACCTTTCTTGTTAAGATGGAAATGAGATGCACGTTGGATGATGGAGATTTTCAGAAAATATGTGACATGACTGCACAAAAGGGTGTAACCTGTCATAAAAGAAACCCTCAGTTCTGTAGAACGGCTTATTGGAGTTGCTGGCTGAAGAAGCAATACACTGCCTCTAACTGTCACTGACATTATTTCAAAGGCAAAGCGTATGCCATTCTTTATAATTATTATCACCCCTACAGTGGGTGGTTACAACAGAGACCTTTTCATTTTCCACTCTGTCTACTCTGCCTGTGAGTTTGGAATTAAAGTCTCTTTTTTGTAAGATGTCGTGATCATCTCAGGGATTCTTTAGAGTATTATTTCTTTGGTGAGTGCAGTCATTTTAAAGTTCTTTAAACCAATGTTTACTGATAATGATGGATGCACTATAAACAAGCAAAAATATAATTTCACAGAGAAATCTGCTCATATTACATAAAAATTATGCATTTTGTTGTTCCAAGAGATATAGTCTGATCCTGCCTCATATTGTGTAGGTCCCCTTTGCGCTGCCAAAACAGCTTTGACCCATTCAGGAATGGCCTCCACAAGATCTCTGAAGGGGTCTTCTGGCATCTGACACTAAGTTAGTAGCAGATGCTTTTCTTTTGGCAGTGTGGCAGGATCCATTGTCCTGCTGTAAGAGGCCACTGCCATCAGGGAATACTACTGCCATGAAGGTGTGTACTTGGTCTGCAGCAATGTTTAGATAGGTGATACATGTCAAAGAAACATCCACATGAATGACAGGACCCAAGGTACCTAGAAGCACACTACCTTCACGGGCTTGTTTTCTTCCCAAAATTCTTCCTCTGGTAAACAACCAACATGCATCCAGCCACCCATATGATGCAAAAGTGTGATTCAACAGACCAAGCCACCTTCTTCTTTTGCTCTATGGTCCCGTTCTGATACTCATATGCCCATTGTAGGTGATTTTGGTGGTGGACAGAGGTCAGCATGTAATGTGCTGTGTATTCTGACACCTGTCTGTCACAGCCAGCATTAGTTTTTAAGCAATTTATACCACAGTAGCTATTCTGTGGGATCGAACTG